ATCTTAATATCCAAAGCAATACTGAGAAAGAATAAACTTGGAGGTATCACGCTTCTTGGTTAAATATATTACAAAGTTACAGTAGTCAAAACAGTGTGGTACTGGCATAAAAAGCAACTAATGGCTCTCTTTTGTGCCACTAGTGTACTAAGAAATAATCTATAATAATCTATAATCAACTGATCTCCAATAAGGGTGTGAACACAAAATGGAGAAATGATGTTCTCTTCAATAAATGACTTTGGGAAAACTTGATACCCACATACAGAAAATGACTTTGGGAAAACTTTGATACCCACATACAGAAAAATGAAAGTGATCTCTTATCTCACATTATCCAAAATATCAACTAAAAGTGAATTAATGGCATAGACACAAAAGCTAAACTTATAAAACTACCAGAAGAAAACAAATAAAAAAAGATGATATTGGTTTTGAACATGACACCAAAAGCACAGGTAGTAAAAGCAAAAAAAGAGACAAGGGAAACTGCATCAAACAAATAAAACACAAAAACAAAACAAAACAAAAAACCTTGCAAAAAAAGGTATTTGCATAAGTAAGGAAATAATCTAGTGAAGGAAACCTATGGAAAAGGAGAAAGTATTTGCAAACCCTATTATCTGATAAAGGGCTAATAATCAAAATGTACAAGGCACTCTTGCAATTCAACATTAAGGAAATGAGAGCTAGCAAGAAATAAATAATCCAACTAAAAAAGTGGTCCAAAGAACTAAATGTGCATTTCTCCAAAGAAGACAAATAGCCAGCAAGTACATATCAGCCAAAACCACTATATCAAGGAGCTGCAAATCAAAAACCCACAATGTTAGAATTGTGATAAAAAAGAAAACAAAAGGTAAAAAGAGTTGGTGAGGATATAGAAAAAAGGGAGTGCATGCATGGTTGTTGGAAATGGAAATTGCTGGTCACTATGAAAAACAATATAGAGCTTATGATCTAGGTATGTACCCAAGGGAAATCTCCAGAATATATCTGTAATCCCATGTCACTGCATTATCAATCACAATAGCATGATACAGAAACAACCTAAATGTCTGTTGATGTATGAGTGATTAAAGAAAAGTGGGATATTATATTACACATATACATATTTATAAGTATATAGCTACATGAGATAGGACATTATTCAGCCATGAAAAAGGCCATTTACAACATGGATGAACTTGGAGGACAATATGTTGAGTAAAATAAGCCAGTATGATCCCACTAATATATGGGACTTAAACAGTCTTAACACATAGAAGCAGAGAATAAAATGATTTTTTAGGGACTAAGGAGAGGGAGGAAACGAGGAGATGCCAGTCTAAGAATATAAAATTCAAGTTATGCAGGAATGAATAAAGTCTGGAGTTCTAATGTACAGCAATCATCAACAAGGCCCTATAGTTAACAATGCTGTATTGTATACTTGGAATGTGCTAAGAGCATAGCTTTTAAGTGCTATCTCCATTTTTTTAAAAAAGGTAATTATGGGCCCTCCCTGGTGGCACAGCAGGTTAAAGCACAGCACTAAGAAGTTTAAGCCATTTCCACATGAGTTTGATTCCCGCCTGCCCGGAGGTGACCACATAGCGTGGCAGACCTCTCCTGTCCTGCCCGCTGCTCCCCTCAGCAGTGTACTTCGTCGATCTGCCTGTTCTGCTCCCCACTCTGTCTCTGGTGAATCCTCTCACCCTCCGCATCTCTGGCCTGTACCCCAGTTCTGTATGAATGAGTAAATAAATTAAAAAAAGGTAATTATGAGTTGATTTGTGAAGTGATATTTATATGAAATGTTAATTAGTTTGATTGCAGTGCATTCTACACAATGTATACATATATC